CACTTCCGGTGACGTCAGGGGGTGTGGCCTTATGACACACTTCCGGTGATGTCAGGGGGTGTGGCCTTATGACACACTTCCGGTGATGTCAGGGGGTGTGGCATATGCTAATGAGTTGTGCTAATGAGTTCCCCTAGCTCTTTTTCTACGAAACGACCCCTGTCCCAAAGTACCTCACACACAAAAACGACAGGAAAACCCAGTACAAATGACATAAAAGTTCATTACAAATGTTCTGTGGGGAAGAATTCTCAGCTAAACATAATCCAGTCATGAGAAGTGGAGGGGTGGCTGGCTACTTCCTGCCCTCCCTTTGATGGCCTCATTGATGGCAGTTGGAAGCTGGAGGGAGAAAGGGAGGCTCTTAATTATTTGTGGTACACAGTTCTCAAGAGACTAAACATCATGGTCAACACATGGCTGCTGCCAAAGTAATACATTTCGCTCCGCTCATAGCAGTGAACTTACTGCACCCCCATCCTTAGAATCTAGGACTACCTTGTGCATGTCCTGACATCCCACACTTTCCTGCCCCCGCTCCAGATACCTGGCTGCCACTATCAGGGAAACACAGAATGTAGTGACATAAAAAGACATGTTGCGGGAAGACAGAGCAAAACAAGGGGATGTTTTTTTTGTAGCAGTAGCCCACACTGCATACCTTCAAATATGGCCCCCAACTTACCCATCTGAGAAGGGATTTTAAAAAAGGTTTCTTACTCTACCAGTATCAGCTCTAGGAGGAAAGAGACTTTCCAAAGGAGTGATCTATCACCTCTGCCTCCTATTCAGAGGATGATGCTATTCGGGAAGTGAGGAATTTCCTCTGACCATGTTAAATGAGAACCTACTGGAAGCCTCAGGAAGGAAAGGCAGTCTTTCAAGCATGGCTCTATTTTTGGAAGACTTTTTTTTTAGGGAAATAAACACACACTTGGATAGCTAAACTGTTTTATCGAACATCACAGATATCTTGGATGCTGTAGGTAAACAACTGCAACATCATTTAAATTTTCTGTAATGGTCATTAATGCTAAATCATAAGCAATTCATTAGTATAGTACAGTAAAGTACAGTACAGTACAGTAGTATAGTAGTATTAGTAGTAATATATTAATACTAATTTAACCTATAGGTGATTCACTAGTAATAAATAAGCTTACTTGCATGTTTGTCAGCCAGGACAATCAAAGTGTTCGAGATGTCCCTCCTTCTATAGAAACAGACCACTTTTGCTTCCACATTCCCATTGGCTGTCTGTAACAATAAGCAGAAAATAATTTGAAGTACAAATTAAAATTACTATGATTTCAATGAAATTATATCTATTCAAATGCTTTGAATTTAAATACACAAGCACTGGGGGGGGGGGGGGGGACACTGGATAGCTTACACCCAAATATCTTGATACTGATTTTCAGACTCAATCAGACCATCATGGTATACATATTGAAAGGGTTCTTATACTGTCCCAGCAGGCAAACACCTGACAAGTAAGGAATACATACACTTCGTAGCTTAACTGACATAAATTAAGTGGGTCATCAAAAATGCAATCATAAAAAGAAAAGATTAAAAACTAAAAGGGATAAAAAGGTATAGATGCATGTACATACAGACACAGTGAAGACATGAGCTGAATACACTGCTGTCATGGAAGCAGGGGTGGCTGGATGAGGGGAAAAGTCCAGATCAGGCAATCTTTCCGGGCAGCAAACAGATGTACTCCCCCTCACCATTTCTCACCCCTCTCTTCCTCCTGCCCCATTGACTCTCAGAGTAGGCTGGTTATTGTATTCTCCTGCTATCAACCTGGCATTGGGATCTTCCTGTAACATGGGGGGGGGGGCTATGTTACCCCTTTAACCTCTAAATCTTTTGGGAGTGGCTCCTTTCACAAGCAGGGGTGCTTGTGACATATAAAACCTTGAAAGAGTTTTAAAAGCTTGTACAAAAAGACTGCATTCAGACACAAAAGCAAGAGGTGAATACAGTTGTTGATAATTCCTAGAATTCTCCAAACAGTATGCCTAAACATTGGTGTCAAGCATTCCATTGCCCCTACAGGAGTAAAGGGACAGAGCAGTATGGCCGACACCTAGAGAGTTCAGAGAACGGAGCTGAGGAGCCGGAATTTAAACAAAAAGCAAAAAGCACTGGTACTTGGCCAAAAAAAGAAATGCCAACCTGGGCTAGTGATCTAAGGGGAAGGAAAGCAAGAAAAATAACAAAGAATTCCTTAACTCAACTAAAGATGAGTTCACCTACAGCTTTCCCAATCCAGTTCCTGGATTCAGTCAGCAAACTCATACTTCCCTCCCTTGGAAGCAGCTGCTCTGCAGAATGATTCTAGGAAATGCAGACATGAGGCCCTTGTGGGAGAGTTTTATACGTTACCCAAAGTCCCTAATCTCTCACACAAGATTATCTGCACCTTCCCACTGGAATGTGTGAGGATCAATGCTGGCTTTGAATTTTACCTGGGAGACTGATGGCAGGAAAGGAGGGATTACCTTCTCTCCAGAAAGAGAGAAAAATTCTCCATTAAGCTCCTTTATGTTGTTGTTCTTCAGTCGCACAGTCGAGTCCGACTCTTCGCAACCCCATGGACCAGCTCCCGCCAGGCCTTCCTGTCTTCCGCCGTCTTTTGATGTTTGCTCAATTTCATGTTCATTGCATCGATGACACTGTCTCACCATCTCATCCTTTGCCGTCCCTGTCTTCTTTGACCTTCAATCTTTCCCAGCATCAGGGTCTTCTCCAGTGAGTGCTCCCTTCTCATTGGGTGGCCAAAGTATTTGAGCTTCAGTTTCATTATCTGGCCTTCCAGGGAAGAGTCAGGGTTGATTTCTTTTAGGATTGACTGATTTGATCTCCTTGCAGTCCAAGGGACTCTCAAGAGTCTTCTCCAGCACCATAGTTCAAAAGAATCTATTCTTCGGCGCTCGGCCTTCCTTATAGTCCAACTCTCGCAGCCATACATGACTACTGGGAATACCATTGCTTTGACCATGCGGACTTTTGTTGGCAGGGTGATGTCTCTGCTTCTTATCATGCTGTTTAGGTTCGCCATCGCTTTCCTCCCAAGGAGCAGGCGTCTTTTAATTTCATGGCTGCAGTCACAGTCTGTGGTGATCTGGGATCCCAGGAACATGAAGAGGCTCTATTGGTCACCTCTGGGCTTGTCCCCAGTGAGTCCTCCTCCCTCGGGGGACATGACAGGGGAGGGAAATTTCAGGCCCCAAACAGCTGTCCACCTGCCATTTTCTTGGATACAGTGAAAACCACTCTGGGATGAGCACTAATCCTGCTACCTTGATCGTCAGCAGGTGTTTGATGGCACCTAGCATTCACTGTCTGTCTGGCTGCAATGAAGACAACAAGTCAGCTTGGAAAAACTTTCTGCAGTGCGATGGATTAACCACGGTGAACACTAGCATTGACTTTGAGGTTCATGGAGGTTAATTCCCATGCTTCTTGGAACTTCTGGAGCTACACATACACAACAAGTGGCATTTGGTGTCAATCTCTAGATTACCAGTTTCTGGTTTTGCTAAGCTAGGCACTGGGTTGAGACCGGGAAGGGGTGGCTTTGGGGAACAGATGCTCTTCGCTCAAGGAGAATATGCCAGAGTCCTCTAACCACATGAGCGCTGAATGAAAAGAAAGGGGGAGGGCACTATGGTACAGATTTCGCTGAGAGGGTATCACCTTTTCTAAGCCTTGGCCTCCACCTAGATATTATCAGTTGGGGGGGCAGGTACTCAAGGAAAGAAACAAGTAGCAAGACTACCTCGGAAGAAGAGTTCATTGCCCAATGCTTTAACCAGAGATTGTGTCTGGACAGAGAAGACCATCGACCCTGAAGTAAAGTGAAGTGAATCCAGACTAGCATCTGCCTTCATAGCAGCCACTCTCATTCTTTTACTTTTACTTTTACTTTACTTTACAATTCAATTTATATACCGCCCTTGACCCCTAGGGGGTCTCAGAGCGGTTTGCAGATATACTACTTATGTAGTTGTTATCCTAACCTAGGGCCACAAATTCGAAGGGGGAGGGGCTGCCTACCGACACCCAAGCGGTGCGTTCTCTCCTCTTTTGCTGATTTCCCGGGCCGGCTTCGGATGCTGTTCCCGGCGCCTAAGGCTGGCCGGCGACTACCTCCGGCAGGCTTCTGGTGGGCTCCTCCGACGCACGACCGCTTCTGACTGCAGCTTCCGGCTTCCGTCCCTTAGGCTCCTGCCGTGCTGCGTCGTCTAGCGTCGCGTCGCCTCAACTCCACCTCCATCCGGTTCGGTCACCGCATCCTTGTGTCGCCAGTCGCTCTGCCGCCATTGTTGTTACCGCCGTCGCTGCTGCCGCCAGCACTCCCAGCACACAACCAGGAGGAGGGTGCCCCCTGCCACCTAGGGCAGGTACCCATTTGTCTACTTGCGAATGCTTTCAAGCCGCTGGGTGTCTTCAAGGGCTGCCATATCATGCTAGTCGCCCAGTGCAAGATCTCCTCTCAGTTCACTATCCTGCGGCACTACAGCTCCTGACACTAAGGGATGAGAATCTGATCAAGGGCTCCCTTTGGGAACGAATAAAGGTTCTTGGTGAATCTTAGGCTATACTTAGTGTCTAGGAACAAAGCACAGAAACCACTGACTAGAGATTACCAATATATGAAATGTGTAATAATAATTCAATAATGCAAAAAAAATTATATAACGATATTGGTCAAGGTGTAACCAAGATACAGAAGGAAGAATAATAATGGAAAGAAGAATAAAGTCCCAAGTATTTTACTGTGTCTCACTCCAGTAGCGTTGTAATATCAAAGTCCAATTTGGCATGCAATTCATCATGGAGTGGACATTTCAGAAGTTCCATAAGCCATAAAAAGCCATGACGCGTAGTCCGGATGCTCAGTGTCTAGCATATTATTCATACTGATTCAGAATCAGACAAGGGTGATCATTTTGCACATAGAAGCTACAACAAATGAAGACCTAAAGATGAACTCCACAACCAATACTTTACTAGACAGCATACACTATCCATATATATCATACTTTCATTTATAAACTAAATCATCGACCACAAGTTATAGTATCTTACAATAACGCAGGATGGAAAAGATTTCTCCATGCAGTAATAAATATCCCAAACACTACATCAGTAAAAATCCAGGTCAATACAAAACCCCAGCAGGGATGATTAAAATACTGAATAATCTTTAACGAATGGAGAACTTTTAAGTCACTGAAGCTGCACTGAAACTCCTGAGAGAACACAGGATATTGTCAGACTCCCCTGTTGTACATCCACTCCATGAATTTAAGAACCTGTTTTCACCAACATTTGAGGCAATTAAAAAAATCTTCCACCAAAACTCATTAAAAAGGTTTATTTGGATTCAAAAAAGGTCTTACATTTTAAATTGTTAATCTGGTACATTTTTACTCTGAATTGGCCCAGTTAAAAACTTCATCTTTAAAAAAAAATGGATCTCAGACCCTGACTCTGTTTGGTTTGACATCTGAAACTGTGACTTTTGCTGATCCAGCACCAAGTGATTGTTGTGCATTCCACGAGGAGCATCTAGCTGAAAGTAGATGTAAAAACTGGAAAAGCACCTCTGAACATTGAAAGTGTTTTTTCAGAGGGGTGGTATCTGTCTAAGGCTCGTCCAAACTGATCTCTACAACCTTTTTTTTTAGATCTATGAAAGTACCCATCCTCTTACCCCATAACTGCTAAGTTTATATCTACAGGCTTATTAACTTGCCTAAAAATTGTATTTTTCCTTTACGTTGTCTGCAGATGGCAGGTTTTGTAATTCCCTCTCGTTTTTTTTTAAGCTGGGGGTTATTCTGGAGGGAAAACTACCAGGCTAGTGTAGGTTTCTATCTACATTCAGGGGCAAGTTCAGAATTAGATATTAGTTGGGGACCTGCATGAGTCCCAGGAGGGAATCCCCTCCCCGCCCAGCCAGCAGCAGCCCACGCTCTCCCCTTCCCCTACCCGCCACAACACTGCCTCACATAATGGCAGCCACTCCTCCCGCCTGCAGTGCCGCTGCCTCTGCCCACCTAGCCCACGTGGCAGCAGCTCCCATTCGCTCTCCCACGCCATCCTCTTCCTGCCTGCCCTGCCTCCACCCACCTGGCGCGTGCAGCAGAGGCTCCCGCTTCTCCTGCTCTGTCCTTGTCCTCCCACCTCTCTGCGGTGCTGCCACCTTTACCTGTATGGCTCACGCCGCAGCTCCCAGTCTTCCTCTCCCACCCATACACCTGCCTCAAAAAGGCGGCCAAGGTCTCACGTCCCTTCCATCAAACCTTAAACGAAACATCGCCTGGTCTTCTGCCCTACCAAATATCTTGGCAGAAGGACTGTGATCTCCTTCTGGATGATGCTATATGGTCTGAACTCTGGGATTCCCCGGTTTTTAAATCCTCTATTATTTCAATGGAACAGCAAACCCCCAAAACTATGACCAGGTGGTACCTCACACCCCAACAACTCTCACATATGTGCCCTACAAAATCACCCTACTGTTGGAAAGGATGCCAACAACAAGGAACATATGCAACATTGCTGGTGGAAGTGCGATGAGATACAGGCTTTTTGGGAACTAGTCTTACATCACATTCAACCCATCACAGGTGTCACACTCCCCCTCACTCCTGAAGCTCTCTTTCTTGACCACTGGCCGGACCAACTGGCTACACACCACTCCAAACCAACTACTGACATCATGGTGTCTACAGCAAAAACCGCTATTGCCTCCTGCTGGCGGGAACCTTACCCCCCTAACCTGAAATTATGGTTCAAAAAACTGTGGGAAACTTACCTGATGGACAACATCACTAACAAAATAAACAGGTCTCTTCTGAAACCGGCCAAAACAAACTTTGATAGCAAATGGTTCCCAATACTAGAATTCTTATCACACCATGAATTTATTTCACCAGAATGGAAGCAACCGCAGAGATGGCTTTGAATCTCAATCTTCCCCAGGGCGAACAATATTTTTATCATCACCATATTCCCATTTGCCTTAGTGTTAAGGACACTCCTCACCCGTGGCACTATAATGTATTCCATACAGCACTTAAAACAGGATCTAAGATATACGTTTTACTGAAATTGCACTATTGTTAAAATGTTAAATTGTTGTTAAGTTTAACAATGCAACTGAGTCAAGTTTTATACCAATTGCATTTCTGTACATTCTAAAATATAAAATGTACTGTGCTGTTATGTAATTTTACTCTTTTTCGTTCTGCAATAAAAATTATTTTTTAAAAAACCTTAAACTTTTGGGAGGAGGGGTATTTTTCTGAAAACCTTGGGCATTCCCCAGGCTCAGAGAAAAATATCCCTATCTGTTAGTGGTCCTATGAAATCCAGACATTTTGAAAGGAAAAAAAAAGAGATAATAGTTATTGAGTTTATACAGGCTCCTATTTCATCCATATCAATACATCAAAAAAGGACTGCAAAATTGTAAAAATCGTAGATTCACTGGTAATAGCCAGTACAGACAGTATCTTCAAAAAACCATAGAGTGCATCTGCAGTTTTTTTACCTTATTGAGTTCTTCTATTCTACGTATCAAATATGGGTTACTTGAAGAGTTTTCAAAGTAGACATAATCTGTAAAAAAACAAAACAATTTTCATGAAGCACAAGCCTGTGGGATGTTACAGCTTAAGAACAAAAATATAAACAGGTTTTTTTACACATAGGCCTACAGTTTACTGCAGTTTTTCTGAGCAGTGAGCCTTTAAGCTTGACTCCAGATTCTGTGCCCGCCTTGTGCACCCTTCTTTTTCCTCCGGTGTATTTATTCTGCAGCTACAATTTAAAAACTGCACTTTTCTAAATCGCGGTGGAATGTCACTTGTGATACATGGGGGGCAGCAGCCAATTATTTTAAAAAATCACAAAATTGCCCTATTGCAGCTGCGTAGTAGCCTCCAGCAAACACCTTCCATTTAAATCCCTGTGGTTCAGGTTTTGTGCATGCACTTTAGCGTTAGTTCTTTGAATGAAAGGGAACAGAAAGAAATCCAGGCAAAGAAGGAAATCCACTGTTGAAACTGCCAAGGCTTTTCCTGAAATTGGCAAGCAGCTGCGAAGCCCCATTTTCCATATTGTCTAGAACTGAGAGATTCTCTGCTGCGTTATTGACCACTGTGAAAAATGGGAGTCACAAGATCTCATAATATGGGGGAACACGCTGAGTGTATGGAAGGCATGGCAGAACCCACTGACACTGGCTGTGATCGTTGCCGACGTGTGTGTGCACCCACGCAAGTACGCCTGTGCAAAGTCGGCTGCAACTCCACCATGCTTTGCACAGGGCTGCAGTTTGTATGAGAGAGAAGTCCTCCGGCAGAAGCTCTGGAGAGCTTTTTCAGTCTTGTGCCAGAAGCTGTTGGTGTCTTGCAAGCAGCAAGTGAAGAAGATCTGCCCCATGTCCATCCTGTCACCATAGGGCAGCTGTAGGGCAGCACCTCAGACACTTTCGCCCACTCTCCAGTCGCCTGGGTCAGACCATGGGGCGGAGGGAGCTCCTTTGCCTGCCCGGAGGCTGCAAGGGGGGGGGGGAGAAGAGCCCAAGCAGAGCTCCCCAAGCACTGCAAGCTAGGCGGTCCCGGGAGTAGGGGGTCACGGCCCACTGGAGTCGGCAGCAGTAGTAGACTGACCGGGGAGGGGAGGCTGGCAAAGTTGAGTTGACAATTTTTGCTCACAAGACTCCACAGCTTAGAGGGAACATTGGTTGACACCTCTCTCTTCCTTGCCTTTCCCTTCCCTCTAGCTTTGGCTTCTTGGCTCGGGAAAACCAGGGGAAAGATGCTTGGCAGACTGGGATGCAAATCAGGAGAGGCTGAGAGGGAGGGAGGGGGAGGGAAGAGAAGAGAAGCAGAGATCCCTGAAAGAACCACAGTCTCCTGGGGGGATTGAAAGGCAGAGGGAGAGCTGGCTCAAGAGTAAAAAAACTGGGGCAGGTATTTTTTCAAAGCTTTAGGCTCCCCATCTCCATGTCTCTCTCTCTTTACGCCTTATGCCAATTTCATTCCATGCTGACGATTCCCCCCACACTTAATTTTGTTTGCAAGAAGCACTGAAATCCTTTTTTCTTTTCTTTTTTCGCACTGGGGACAATGCTGTTTGCCTCCTCTGTGATCCCTCTTTCTAATCAATACCAGCAGGGAATTAAACAACATGCAGCTCTTTTTAAACTTTCCCGTCATTTTAATTTTTTTTATTCAGTGATCTGAGACTAGCAACAGTCTCATATTGCTAGACTCATGCTGCTTATCAAAAAAATTAAAAATCTAAAACAGCAAGAGAAAAATGAAACTTGTACACCAATGAAGGAGGGAGGATGGCGGAAGGTACAGAGTGAGCGGAACGACCTCAGTGTTGGTGGTGGAGTGGCCTTCGAGGGATGGGAAAAGTGCAGTGTGGGGGGGAATCTGAGGGAATTTGTATGCTTTTGAACTACCTTTGGCTTGGAAGCAAAGCAAGGGGAAAACCAGCACAAAAGCACTCTCAGAAAACCCAGGAAAGCAATGAAAAGAAAGCGAACTGAATACTGAAGGGAGGGGGGGAAATGCAGAACGAAAAAGAAAACCCAAAAGACATGCACAGTGAAAGCCTCTTCCCGTATGTTCCCCCAAGAGCGCTGCGATCAGGGAGTCTGGACCTCCTTGAGGTTCCAGGCCCCCGGGACATCAAGCTTGCCCTAACCAAGGCCAGGGCTTTTTCGGTGGCGGCTCCTACCTGGTGGAATGAGCTCCCGGCGGAGATCAGGGCCCTGCGGGACCTAGTGCAGTTCCGCAGGGCCTGCAAGACGGAGCTCTTCCGCCAGGCATTTGAGTAGGAGCCGCCGCCGTTGCCACTATACCACCAACGTGGCCAACTTACCATCTACCTGGCCTTGGATGGGGGCTGTCGTTGCCCAGAAGAGGTACAACATCATTCTGGCGCTCCTGCGTTTACACCATCGGCCTCCAGTGAGGGATATCTACCATCTTGAACTTTTAAAATGAACTTTTATAACCAACTGTAGAGCTCCATTTTAGCTTGTATTACTGATGTTTTAATTGTAACCTATGTTTTATTTCCGGCGTTGCCGCTTGTTCGCCACCCTGGGCCGCACGGGTAGGGCGGGATATAAATCCCAATATAAATATAAATAAATAATAAATAAATAAATAATAGGTCATATACATCTTGGCTGACATATTTATACCTCCCTTGTAGACAGGCAGTACACTCTACCACTGTTACCAAGCACGACACAGTCACAGCATTGGCCTTATTCCAAAACCTCCGTACCATCTGACCACACTCCCACAGCATGTTTGACCTCCATGTGTCTCTAGTATTTGTTACCTGAGAACAATTTGCACATAACAGTATTTTTAAAAGCCTCAATGGATACTGGAAGATGATTGTCATTACACTAAGTACACAAAATGTTCTCCTACCATGCACATCTCCCACACCATAAAGTTAATCCCAGTGTAGCCCATCTCAACACAGGACTATTTTTAATAACCACCGCAATACTGAAACAAACATGTTGCAGAGTTGGGGCAACTATAGTCATTTAGTTCTCTTTTCTAAAGAAACTGTATTTATAGGTCAAGATGGGTAGCTGTGTTAGTCTGTCTGTAGCAGTAGAAAAGAGCAAGAGTCCAGTAGCACCTTAAAGACTAACAAATTTTGTGGCAGGGTACAGGCTTTCACGAAGGAGCAGACACTCACGAAAAGATCATACCCTGCCACAATTTTTTTTCAGTCTTTTAAGTGCCACTAGACTCTTGCTCTTTTATAATGATATAGCTTACATAACTTAAGGTTTCAGTTGTTTTAAAGGAATGGGTACATATTCATATTTGATGTAAAGGTAAAGGCTCCCTTGCTCGAAAGCCAGGCGAGTCCGACTCTAGGGTTGCGGTGCTCATCTCCGTTTCAAAGCCGAAGAGCCAGCGCTGTCCGAAGACGTTTCCGTGGTCATGTGGCCGGCATGACTAAACACCAAGGCGCACGGAATGCTGTTACCTTCCCACTGAAGTGGTACCTATTTATCTACTTGCAATTTCTTGCTTTCGAACTGCTAGGCTGGCAGGAGCTGGAACCAGAGACGGGAGCTCACTCCGTCTTGCGGCACCCGGGTCTCGAACTGCTGAACTACTGACCTTCCGCAGCCTGCAGTTCAGCGTCTTAACCACTTGAGCCACCGCAGCTCCTTATTTGATGTACGTAAGAGACTGCTTTGAATAGGGGGAGGGGAATCGATTATTATGCTCTGGCAGTTCAGCTTCTTTTTTACTTAATGTTTCAGATCTGTTGCCTGCCACATTCCAAGGGTTTAAGGTAGGTAAAGACAGAAGATTTACCTGTAACAGCTGTCCTTTGAGCAGCCTCCGATTTTAGACAATTTGCAGCTTCGGGAACGTCCTAGAAAACTAGCCAAGGAACTGAGGCCTGCTTTCGACAGATTTCTGATCAACTGTGCATTCCCTGGGGATACTTGTGGGATCCTGCCTGGGGAGTCTCCTGATGCATCCCTGGGACCACAGATTGTATAGACATCAGAATGGGTATTCTGATCTCATTCCACACCACCAGGAAGTCTCTCCCAGACCACAGACGTGGGACTTTCCAGGCAGGAAGGAGGCAGAGCCCCCAGCTCAAAACTTCTCTGATCCCTCCAACAGGCTGGGTGCAGCTGAGGTTTCTCCATTTCGAGAGAAGGTTCAGAGTCAGACCCTTCTTTGGAAGCACGGAAGGTTCTCTGCTACGTCCGACCTCTGGAACTCAGGCTGGGCACAGCACAGGTCTCTTCACTCTGCCGCTGCCACCCTCCTCCTCCCATTTGCAGCAGCCTTAGGGGAAGCAGGCAGGCTCTCTGACCTTTCCTCACCTAGCTGTGTGTATCTCAGATTCTGCACCCTGGGCAAAGAGAGGAGGCAAGCAGGGAAAGAACGGGGGCATGCCAGCTTCTTCCTCTAAAGGCCAAAGCAGTGGTGTAGTGGTTAAGAGCGGTGGACTCTAATCTGGAAAAGCGGGTTTGATTCCCCGTTCCTCCACATGCAGCCAGCTGGGTGGCCTTGGGTCAGCCACAAGTTCTCTCAGAGCTGTTCTCTCAGGAGCAGTTCTCTCAGAGCTCTCTCAGCCCCATCTACCTCACAGGGTGTCTGTTGTGGGGAGAGGAAGGGAAGGAGATTGTAAGCCGCTCTGAGACTCCGAGTGGAGGGCAGGGTATAAATCCAATCTCCTCTTCTTCTTCTTCTGCCCAGGGAAATGGTCAGCTGTATTCAAACCTTTGGGGGCTTGCTGAAGAGGGATAACCACTAAGGACCCCTCTGCCCTGTTTTGGGCATTCTGGGACAACTGTTGGCCACTGTGTGAAATAGGGTGCTGAACTAGATGAGCCACCAGTGTGATCCAGCAGGGTTCTTCCTATGCTTTTATTGAACGGCATGGGAGATAAAACTGATCCTTGTGGCTTCCCCCTCAGGGAAAATCCCACAATGTGGACAACTGGTCTCTAACAGCAACAGCATTCTTCATCGATGAGACTCAGAGGGTTGATTTAAGCCATGCCAAAGCACATTCTTTGACACCTGTCTCTATTTCTCAATACCTCAACGTATTGCAGATTGTTCTGTGTGCTGTTTCCACTGCTGTTTCATTAAAAGGTTACATGTGGATTTGTTCAGCAGCACTATCAAATGAAACTCGTAGAATATCTTCTTTTCGGACACTCTAAGCATTTCAGTTCTCAGATAAAGACCTACAAAAATTAGAAGGAATAGGTCTCAACCATGAAGAATGCTGTTAGGACATAAGAACATAAGAGAAGCCAATGTTGGATCAGGCCAAAGGCCCATCCAGTCCAATACTCTGTCACATAGTGGCCAAAAATACCAGGTGCCATCAGGCGGTCCAGCAGTGAGGCCAGGACATTAGAAGCCCTCCCACTGTTGCCCCCCCCCAAGCACCAAGAAGACAGAGCATCACTTGCCCCGGAGTCCCTATCTATACCTTGTGGCTAATAGCCACTGATGGACTTCTGCTCCATATGCTTATCTAATTCCCTCTTGAAGCCGTCCATGCTTGTAGCCGCCACCACCTCCTGTGGCAGTGAATTCCATGTGTTAATCATTCTTTGGGTGAAGAAGTATTTCCTTTTATCCATTCTAACACGAAATCAGCAATTTCATGGAGTGCCCACGAGTTTTTGTATTGTGAGAAAGGGAGAAAAGTACCTCTTTCTCTACCTGCTCTTTCCCATGCATAATCATATAAACCTCAATCATGTCACCTCTCAGCCGTCGTTTCTCCAAGCTAAAGAGCCCCAAGCGCTTTCACCTTTCTTCATGGGAAAAGTGTTCCAGCCCTTTTATCATTCGAGTTGCCCTTTTCTGCACTTTTTCCAAAGCTATAATATCCTTTTTAAGGTGTGGTGACCAGAACTGCACACAGTATTCCAAATGAGGTCGCACCATTGATTTATATAGGGGCATTACTCTATTGGCTGATCTGTTTTCAATACCCTTCCTAATAATCCCCAGCATAGCATTGGCCTTTTTTATTGCAGTCTGTTGCAGTTAGAGACCAGTTGTCGGCAGTGTGGGATTTGCCCTGTGGGGGATCCACAGGGATCAGTTTTATCTCCCATGCTGTTTAATAAGAGCACAGGAAGAACTCTACTGCATCACACTAGTGTCCCATCTAGTTCAGCATCCTATTTCACACGATGGCCAACAGTTGTCCAAGAGGGCCAACAAACAGGGCACAGACGTCAACTCTTCCCCTGATGGGACCCCGCTGCTCTTTTTATTCCTCCACTGTCCTTTTATTCCTATCATTTGCTTAAACTTTGTTCTTTTGATGCATCCTCTTATCCCATAACTGCTAAGTTTATATCCACAGGCTTGTTAACTTGCCTAAAGATTTCAAAAGGTTGGTAAGGCCGGACTTCCCTTTGCAGGTGCCATGCTAAACCTCCCTCAGCAGGCTTCGTCCCTATATGTACTTAATTGTTCTAACTTTAATAACAGTTTCTACTGATTTACCTGGAAAAGATCTTAGACTAACTGGCTTGTAACACCCTGGGCTCCTCTGGACTTCTTTTAAAACTTTTAAAACTGATATAACATGTGCTACTTTACTGTCCTGATAATAAAACGCACTGCCGAATTTTGCACCAGCTGGTTTCCAGATAATCTTCAAGGACAGCCCAATGTACAGAGTCACCATAATCTAGCCTCAATATTACCAAAGCACAGGTCAGCATGGGTTTTTGCAAACAGGGAGCCAGTTTCCTGACTAAATGAAGCCACTGTCATACTTATCCTCCATGAATTTGCTAACTCCCCCTTAAAGACATCTTAGCTAGTGACCATCATTACCTCTTGTGGCAGCGAATTTCGTTAAGTAACTGCCTGACACTGAATCAAAGCTTTGCTCTAAATAGCTCAATATAGTGCTGGTCTAGAATGACTGGCTAGAGCCTCTTGCTCAGGGTAAAAGAGGAGAGCGCAAAAGTGGGCTTGAAGCTCAACATCAAAAAAACTAAGATCATGGCATCCGGTCCCATCACTCCTTGGCAAATAGAAGGGGAAGTCGTGGAAGTAGTGACAGACTTCATGTTCCTGGGATCCCAAATCACCGCAGACTGTGACTGCAGCCATGAAATTAAAAGACGCCTGCTACTTGGGAGGAAAGCGATGGCAAACCTAAACAGCATGATAAAAAGTAGAGACATCGCCCTGCCAACAAAAATACGCATGGTCCAAGCAATGGTATTCCCAGTAGTCATGTATGGCTGCGAGAGCTGGACTATAAGGAAGGCCGAGCGCCGAAGAATAGATTCTTTTGAACTATGGTGCTGGAGAAGTCTCTTGAGAGTCCCTTGGACTGCAAGAAGATCAAATCAGTCAATCCTAAAAGAAATCAACCCTG